GCTTATCATTGACAGTCAACATGATCGATGCGTCTATTGACGTGATAATAAGTGAGAGGAGACGTCTCTATTATGTCTCGTTACTTTTGCCTCGTTCGGTTTACATTTCTAGAAGTATGACGTGAATCACTTCGTTATATCATCGTATCTCAAGATCGCAAGATTTGTATCTCAATACGAATATATCCAGATACTTGTTATACACAAGATATGTACGTCACCTCGTAGAATTTCTCTCCTCAGATGTAAAAAAAAGAAAGTATTAGGAAATTTTTTCTTCAGGGACACGATTAAATTTAGTAATGATCGATTTCCTAAAAAAGAATTTGCCACGTGTCGGTGGCGCCGACGCCGCGACATATGCCCAGAGAATGCATGCGCGCGTGTGAGTGTTGGAAGCTCTTATCATTCGTCTTCCGGATGACACAAATGAAGCTGACATTTATTGCACAATGTATATAATTACAAAACATGTAATTCAATCTGCCGAAGAGCGCGAGGAGTTTTAATGTACGAATTTTTTATCTCCACCTACCTGTGTGCGATTGGCATTTAAAACTACACGGTGAATAAATTATTATTATTTTTTTTTATATATATTTAACGCTGCTTTTTAACACATCTCGTCATTTAACTTAATATTATTTTAAGAACCGCGGATTTATAAATGGCATCTGTACTCTTGCATAATATACACAGTGCAATTTTATTGTCAGCGTTGGAGATGTGATTTGAAGATACAAACCCGAACATGATAGATTCATAAAAAAAAATCAGTAATTACAAAAAAGTCACTTTTAGTGAATTTATATAATTTATAATTATGTCACATAATTGCAAGACTATAATCCATATACTCGCGAGAAGTTACACAGTGAACTTTACCCCCGCGAGACTAAACTTCGTTATCACCCGCCGAGAAGACTTAGACTCATTGAAAATTTTATCAGCTGCTATTATTCGTAAGTCTGGTCGGCCTCATATTTCACTAGATTTTTTTTCAATGTTTCTTGTTACGTTATATCACACATATGCAGAACAGTACCGAAATTGTACTGCATTGTGTTATATCTACTCTGTAGCTCTTTCACATACTCGGATTCGGAATCTGCTATTGAAAAACGAACTGCATTGTGCATTTTGATACGCAAACGCGACGTTATCTCCCACGCGATAAGCATCGATATTGTTGCGCAGTTCAACCCGATACCGATCTCGCATTTCGTGATCGCGATGCATCTGCTGGAGGGTGAGAAGTTGGATGGCAGGTTGACACGCGAGCCTCAGTCTATTTCTTCATCGCATACTTGAGCGCGCGTCGCACGGCGGATATGTTGTCCCTCCTAATGCGATTACCATCAATTGTTCCGCGGGGTTGAGGAGGTTAAACGCATATTTTAAAGGGTTAATCGTATTTGCCGGGCCGGGCGCATTTGATTGACCCTCGAAGACCGAGCGCCCTCCAATTCTCATTCAATCGATTCGCGGCTCGTCCAAGTGTTATCTGCAGAATTGAATCTTGATAAAGTCGATAAGTGCTTCTCGATTCATGAAAAAAATAGGAAGTTACGCTGATATTTTTGACGCGTCCTCGAATAGCCGTCTCCGTTAATTAAAGATTGAGGCGATTATAATTACGCGATTGAGAATATACGGCAGATTATCGCAGGCGATGAAAATTATCGTTACTATCGTGCTTTATTTCTCTCTGTTGTATTCCTCACTTCTAAATTTCTTATCTTGAAGATGTAAAATGGCTTTTGCATACTTCTGGAAATAAGTATATGAAGAATCGTTGTATTTTTTTGTGGAGGGGACTAGAATTTTTCCGACACTTTGGCATCGATCCTCTTATCACGCTCGCGTCGCGCACGGTAACCCGAATTGCACGTCAAACCGTAGTCCTTTTATTTTTAGCCGTGCCATTGGCTCGCTGCCCAGATTTCTGCCTAACGACAATGCTTGGCCACAAAAGTATTATCGTTGGCATATTTGTATTGCTTGAACTTTTCTTAAGAAATCAAACTATACGGAAATTGAATATATCGAATCGCACATTAAGTAGCTTGTTCAATTAATCATTTCTCGGCGAAGCTTTGTCCGAATCTTTTCTGCACGTTGATCGAGATCACGCCGCGAGAATCCGAGAATATCCCATCGAGAGGACACTATTCGCGCTTCTCACGCGAGGGTCAAGGTCGCCGACGGATTGCATTCAAGTGCATGCATGATGCATCGCGCCGAGCGAATTGCCTCGGCGCTATGTAATCGCGTTACCACGCGTTTACGTAAAAAGTAGCGACTATAGCGTGGAGCGTGCGCTTATCGGACAGATAAGAGCGCGCGACGAGAAACTCGATCTTTGAACCGAGCCCCTCGAATTTAAAGGTGCACTACGGCGATACGCGACATAATGTGCATCAATTTATTATACTTTGTTTCTTCTTTGACATTTTAAGACTATCTTTCAGAGGGAATTGTTCATAAACTTTGGAGTAAAAATTAGTAATTATATAATATAATATAATATTTTAATTTAAACTTATTGAAATATTCCGCGAAACCCCACGTTCCAGTCTCAATATGCTTGCGTTGTTTTTTTTTTCTATACTTTTTACCTTTGTTGCCGCGTTTCGCGTAAATTTCCATTCGTGAGAATTCCTCCATGTAATTTATTTTTAAAAGACAAACACCTTAATTGTCAATGTTCTTTTTGTCTTATCAGCGTATTTTGCTGTATAATACTATGTCGAGTAGTCTTGTAAAAAAATAATATTGATAGGAAATTACTGATAAAAAGTTAATTTATGGCTGTCTAGCGGAATTGGCTCCGCAAGAAAATAAATTTCAACAATCTTTATAGACTTTTAGTATGACAGTTTAACTTTTTTAAACTAGACTATTGACATCGTCATTGACATCGTAATTGCTTTGACAAGTCATTTAACAATCCTTTGAGAATCCTTTAATCTATCGATAAAAATATCCAAGTTTGTTCCGCACACAAATTGAGAGATTCTGATCGACAAAACCCTTTAAACCCCATTAAGTTGACATTCTCGTCTTGACTCTGTTCTTCAACTCAGCTTATAATTATTTGCGAAGTGCCGCGTCACGTTTACACACATCCACGTCAAAAGGAGTTTTCCTTCCCGGCTGCGCAAAGATAAGCATCCGAGGCTCCGGACGCATCACGCGACTTTCGCTTCGTGTGACAGGGGGAAAAAGAGAGAATTAAGCAACCTCGGATCCGCGTATCTGTCGAACGTGCCGTAATCCGGAATCACGTTGCCCGCCAGTGTCCACGCACCCACACGCGCGTGCTTCCACACATTCGCGATTACGTTGATAACGATAGCCCGATCTTCCACCTTTTTTCTTTTTTCAAGTACAAGAGCCTGGATATTTCCGTCGCGTATCGCGCCCCACTTATCGTCGTTCGTCCCACAGCTGCTACTACTTATATTTTATCATCATTATCGTTATTCGTCACTATTACGAACATTACTGTCGACTTATTATATTTATTGCAATCGCAAGACACCGCACATGGAGCGAGTCCCGAATCTCCGGTTTTCCGGCTCCAAGATCCGGATCAAACTCGGTCTGAATTGAGATGGCATTTATCATGTTAAAGACGATAACGATAAATACTTAATCCTTCGTAAAGAATGAACGAGGAGAATTAATCTTTGCCGATGCGTTTCCGTGAGCGGCACGCATCGGCGCTTCTGTTTGATAATGACCTCCCTGAAACCTCGCGATCTCTTATCTGTCGTTCTTTCTCATGATATTCGATAGTGCGTGTCCAGATGAGAAACGATTACAGATGTTTTTTCCTCGTCACACGCAACAGCCGATTACGAGTTTAACAGAAAAAAACCTATCATTTTCATAATCCGCATAATTGTAATGACATCCCACGTGTAAAAATATGATAAGTAACGCATGCTCTCAAAAGTATTTAGATTCAACTGGCAATACAATACAATTGACTAGAAATTAACAGAAAAATTTTAAAGATAATTTTTTGATAATTTCGATTCTCGCCATTCCAATTTAATTTTAATTTTTAGGGATAAATGAATATATGAGGAGATCAATAAACTGATCTCTTGCCATTTCTATTCTAAACTTCCATTCTCAGACACAGAAATAGATGTATATAAGAATCATCATCAATAGCATCTTCCCTAAAGTAAAATTATGAATATTAATATTAAATTACAAAGTAATATTAAATCCATCGCTAAAATGTCATAATATTCATATATTATGAATTTTATAAATTGCACGAGACAGTTCTGTGAAAAAATCGCCGTCTTCAGGATCCGTTTCCTGTCCCAGCGTTACGAAATCGTAATTTATCAATGCGAAGACTCGCGCGTGCATCATTGACAAATGCGATTGTTAACGGTTTGGCGCTTTTACGTAATCCGCATGTGTCTTCCACCGTGACGATTCTTTACACAATGCGTACGTCACTCAATGAATGTTCCGCGAGAGAACGGAAAACAAAAAAAAGTTGCTAGAAGTTCGTGGTCTGAGAAAAAATCGAAAAAAGATGCATTTATTTTAAATGTGTGTGTCAAGCCTATCGAATGAGAAAGTTGTAGAAATTGTGTAATTTAATTTATTGGACAACAGGTTTTTTTTTTTAAGGATTTAAAAACTAATTTTGTACGTAAAGTTTTATTCAACAAATCGGTTTTTTCAACTACTTTCTCCCGTCTTTCAAGTAGCTTCATTATTCCGTCCTTATTGAATATATCATTATTTTACACTTAATAAAAACCATCTATTTAAAAAGAAGATAAGATTTTTTTCGTCAATCTAATATCGCATGATATAATTTTTACTTAATTTGCTTAATTTTAGTACGTTCGAATAGCTTTTGCTTATATCTGTACTTATATCTGAAATTATCGGCTTTAATTCCTTCTTCTACCTTTTGCTTTATTTTCAGCAACTATTAATTATAATTTTTCTTTTCTTTTCAGAAAATAACGTCGACGATCTTCGTGCGGCAGCTCACAGATGCGTCCACGGATCTTAAGAAGGTTCTCACCGACAGGATTCCGAAGGAACAGGAGCGGGTCAAAGCCTTTCGTAAGAATCATGGAGCCACCAAAGTCGGAGAGGTGACCGTTGACATGGTATGTTTTAACTAATTTTAAATTTGATTAAAGACAGAATTGTTTTTACAAAATCTTACTTTCTTAGATAGGAAAGAGATAAGGCCTGCACGTATTACTACCGTCTTCAATTAAAATTTTTTTTATCGCGATTGAATTTAGCACGGTAATGATATTTATAATTATCATTAACAATCGTAAATTTCCGGTCGATAAGGGAAGATACGACGAGCTTTTATTTGTTACCAGCCTGAAGAATACTCTGCTCGATAAGACGCGCAAGTCCGCGTGCTTGCTATGTGATCATGATAACCGTAACGCGTTGAATTTCTGATTGTCGCATGCGGCGTCAATAAGCAGCGTAGTTTTTTTTTCGCCGGTTATCAGCCAAATGCAGCGCATGACGATTAATCGTCATCGAACGAGCCGCCGCCGCGCCGCCGGCTCGCATGTGACAATCTCACTTGTCGCGCATGAAGACCTCATTCATCGCTCTGTGTGCCTATTTTTACTCATTGCCAATATCTGCATGATTAATTAATGTACTAATGGCCACGACGTTAATGATATCTTTTAAGTATAGGCCTAGCTGTCTCAGAATATCATTAGTATTAATTAATAAATGGAAAAAGTTAGCGATCACTCATGAATGAGATTATCGAGAAATTTAAATATTAATATATAAACATTTATACAAATTTTAATAAATATATATATGTTAATTTGACATTAATCTTTTATGATTTATTAACATTATTAAATTTGATTACAATGAACTTAAGAGTCTTAGAGGATCTAGGCAGCCGAGGAAAGTTTAATCGAAAATAATTGATATTTGCAATGGGGTTTATAGTTTTCATTGCTATAAAATGCTCTCAGTCAAACATGCGCTAACATGCTTTTTTTTGAATACAGATGTACGGTGGCATGCGCGGCATCAAGGGCCTTGTGTGGGAGCCGTCGGTGTTGGATCCGGAGGAGGGCATTCGCTTCCGCGGTAAGTCGATCCCCGAGTGCCAGAAACTCCTCCCGAAGGCAGCCGGTGGTGCGGAACCACTCCCGGAGGGTCTCTTCTGGCTGCTGATTACCGGCGACGTACCCACGGATACGCAAGTGAAGGCCATCTCGCAGGAATGGGCGTCCAGGAGCTCGTTGCCCGAGCATGTGGTCAAGGCCCTCAATAACTTCCCCAAGACCTTACATCCGATGACACAGTTCTCCGCGGCGATCACGTTGCTGAACAGCGAGAGCGAGTTCGTTAAGGCGTACAACAAGGGCGTGCACAAGAGCAAGTTCTGGGAAAGCGTGTACGAAGACTCGATGAATCTGATCGCCAAGCTGCCAGTGGTCGCCGCCACCATCTACCGCAACATCTACAAGGGCGGCAAAGGTTTGGGCTCTGTCGACGCCGGCAGGGATTGGTCCTGGAACTTCGCCAACATGCTCGGCTATGACAATCCACAGTTTATTGAGCTGATGCGCCTCTACCTGACGATCCATTCGGATCACGAGGGTGGTAACGTGTCCGCCCACACCACCCACTTGGTGGGATCTGCCTTGTCGGACCCGTACCTATCCTTCTCTGCTGGTATGAATGGTCTAGCCGGGCCATTGCACGGTTTGGCCAATCAGGAAGTGCTGGTGTGGTTGGAGAAACTGCGCGGTCAAGTCGGCGACAGTCCGAGCGACGACAAACTGAAGGAGTTCATCTGGAATACGCTAAAGAGTGGCCAAGTCGTGCCCGGTTACGGACACGCCGTACTTAGGAAGACTGATCCGAGGTACACCTGCCAGAGAGAGTTTGCGCTGAAACATTTGCCGGACGATCCGTTGTTCAAGGTAAATCACGCGTTGCAGAGTGTTCTGAATATAGTAGAAAGATTTTGAAGTATTAAAGAATATTGCTATAAAGATTGAGAAAATTAACTTTAGGCCTCTCGGAATATTTAATTCTTTTTGACGTTGCATATATTCGGAATTCAATTAGCATTATTCTGATTTAATTCCACGTTAAATTTTGATATCAATGTCAATATTTTCTCTTTTACAGCTCGTTGCACAAGTGTATAAGGTGGTGCCACCGATCTTGCTGGAAACTGGCAAGGTGAAGAACCCGTGGCCGAACGTAGACGCGCACTCGGGCGTGCTGCTGCAGTACTACGGCATGAAAGAGATGAATTACTACACGGTCCTGTTCGGCGTGTCGCGCGCGTTGGGCGTGCTCGCCTCCCTTGTTTGGGATCGCGCCCTAGGACTGCCCATCGAGAGGCCTAAATCCCTCAGTACCGAACTCCTCATGAAGGCCGTCAAGGCTTAAGGACCGTCTATCACTCTGAATCAATGATCAATTATCAACATCACCTCGAAGTCTCGTCGTCCTGATCTCGAGCTTGAGCATCGACCGCGGCGCCGGAATTTTGATAGGATATCATTTTGATACCGACCTCGAGACACCTCAACGAGCCCGCGCCTTATCGAGCAAACGATAGTGCGGATGGGAGAGAGCGAATGAACGAGAGAGCGAGAGAGAATGAAAGAGACACAAGGCTAGGTATTAAACACGACAAATAATTACGTCTAATAATGTATTATGTAAATGTAGAATTATTAAGAGCAGACACATCAACGTCCCGCGTCAATGAGGCGGAATTTGCATTCTCTTCCTGTTGTCGATACTTTTCAATATGGAGCGACGACAAACAGACATATTAATTACACAGACACATTATATTAATTAATTATGAATGATTATTACATACATATATATATATATATATATATATTGATACATCATATAATTGGCATATAGTGTGATTAATATGATTGTTTGAAGTACATGATTCTTACGAAGTATCAATTGCGGGAACAGACTTAAATGGGGTATTCTCGCAACGTAATAGCTGCTTATATAACTGGAAAACATAGATTGGTCCAATAGTGAAAACTGCCAAAATTGCGAGAAAACCCAAGATAGTGAAAGAAATCCAGAGGATGGCTTTTAGACATCTAAGTATTAAGATTTTTAGATGTTTCTAAATGTCTCTTAAATGTCTAAAAACTCTTCTGGAATTTATTATTTATAGAAACACACACAAGATAGAGAATCGCGTCAGAAATAGATAAGGCATTATTGTACATATAAAGTTATCGCTCAATACAAAGCAACACGGTGACTACCGCTAGAAATTTAGAAGCAACGGCGCAAAATCTACGGCGATAGTTAATGTGTTAGCCAGCGACGTAAAGGCAGTGGAAAATAGCGACTCGAGATCTAGATTCATCGTGCAACGTAAACATTCAAGAAACATCGTTGAGGCGTCCAAAAGATAGTCTAATTCAGTTTGAATGTCATTCTGACGACTTTTCGATGTCTCACTTTTGCGTTGTCTGGGATATGCAATGACATGAATTAGGAACTATAACGTTGTCTTGCCTCGTCATATGAGAAGCGCACTGCCCGGGCGTGTATCACATATTTCTTTTTCGATCAGGCTAATTCCTTTGAAAATTCATCGGATTTTACAGCGGCAAAAACGATATCGAATTTTCGCGATTAGAAGATAGATTTTCAAGGTAATAGCCGGCAACGGAACGTCAAAAGGCGAACGTGCCAATTAGCTCAAATGTAGATCTCTCGGCAATTTAGTTTACTGTCCCACCTCCCTCAGGAAGTTTATTCTAACTGATTGTAGAATGGCAAAAGAAATTCGCGAGTTGCAGTAGTTGCAGAATACTTAACAGCGAGCAATGATTCAGAAAGTGATCAAGCAGACTTAAAAATAGCGTTTAGTCTCATCGGACGGCCGAGATGCTGCTCGGTCGCATTGTGTGGCGAGAAAAACCGCCGCGATTCAGTGTAAAATTAAGGAGCATGACCAGTGGTGGACCCACTGTTATAAGAATGAATGAGTGTGTGTATACATTATTTATAACGAATGTGAAAATAAATGGATCAAAAGGTAACCGTGGCTAACAGATGCTTCCTCTTTCGAGAGACTTGAGATTTACATCGTAAATGTATCGCTCAGTTGATTCTGTAATTCTGAAAATCTGCGATTTCTATCGCCGAATATTCCAACTCTACCGAAAAAAACTTTGGGTAAAATTTAACGAGACTTTGGAGCGATATTCAACAAGGTATTATAAATTTTAATACCGAACGAAATATGCTTAATCTAAAGACAATAAAAACTTGTAAGCATAAATTAGGAGAATTAGGAAATAGGATGGGATTATCGTCGTAGGAAAAAAATGGAGCAGATCCGTATGTTTCTTATTGATAGAAACTGGATTTATTTGACAGCCCATACTTTTAGCCTTTGTTATTCATAAAGTTCATACAGGACTCCCTGGCTTATATTATACAATTATATTAGATAAAGACCAATAAATCGGAATTGATCGATTTTCATAATCGTTATTTCGTTAGATTCGACAGGTCGGGCCGTCTACAAAACCAGCACGAATTACGTTTTTACGCGCGCGCTCGTTCCGCCAACATCGACATCCGTTAAACAACCTGTCTTGTACTTTACACACACGCACGCACGCACACATTCCAGAAGTTTATTTTTTACACAATTACAATGAAATAGAAGAGACGGACACGTTCGTGGATAAATTTGACGAGCGTAGATTCGGCAGAATATCCCTCTTAGAATTTCGAGGAGCAATGTACATGGGAGATACAACCCTTATGTATCATCAACATTTAAGAATCCGTTTCTCAATATGAGAAAGCTAGTATTAACTTTTAAGTGTTAGGATCTCACTCTGGCATTAGACGGCATTTATATCCCTCCGCGCGATGATGTTAACAACGCCTGTACAATAATCTTTGCGTGTACCCATTAATTCTTTAGCACATTTGTTTTTTTTTTTCTTTAAAGCTACGATAATTAATATCATTACCTATTGGAGTATTTAACGCTACATAAAAGATAGACGTTACATTAACAATTTAAATAAAACAAAGACGAGACAGCTGTCAGAGTTGGAGACAAGGTAATTCCTTTGTGTCAGACTTTCGTCCGTACATCCATCATCCTGGCGGTAACCGTAGGTGAATGGAACCGGAAGATACGTTTCCTTAAACAACTAAAAATTCGCGCCTTAGATAATAACATCACTTAGAGCAGCTGTAGTAATGAATTATATCGATTAAACTTATAAGCTTCTTTACTGCCAAGAAAAATAAAACGGGACAGACTGAGATCGTTAAACGAATTAGTGAGACAATAAGTGAGTTTTTGATTCAAAGCTCCCATTCACCTGTCGCGATATTACATGTCACATGCTGAAGGATATATCATTATCAGCCTATCTACTAATCCTTCGTTGTTTTTTTTTCTTCGCGCGTTACGTAAATCGTATTTGTTACGTGATCTATTTAGCAAACAACTGTCTCTCAGAATTGAATTCACATATCACAGAGCAGTTCATATTCTGCTTTGAGAAGTTTTCTTCAATCGGGTCAGTTCTATGAACCTGCTCGGCCCTTACACACGGAAATGTCGTAAAATCTGCTTTCTCTAGTTCGGCATTGTTTCTTCCCTTTTTTTACAGAGCTCGCTCTCTTAACGAGACGTATAAAAAACTATGTACACAGGTGCACTTCCGTTGCGCTCTTACATGTCAACCGAGTACAAATAACGAGTTGCCTCCCTCGTCTATTTTTACTGCAGAATTTTACTGTAGGTGGACGGGATGAGACATCTCGCACTTTTACCATACAAATGACAACGTAATTTGCATAAGCAATCGATAACATTCCTCTTTTTTAATAGATTAAATTTTATATTTGTCGCTATGTTTAGTGGCCATTTAACTATGATGCTTAACCAAGTGTACATTTTGTATATGGACGCAAAAAATGATTATCTTTGCTTTTAGTACACGCTTAATATCTCGCTTTGTACATTTCCACTTATCATCGTTCTTATCTCTGTATTGATCATTGTAAACGAGTTTGTTACGTCACGAACAGTAATTCCAAACTTCTTATCGCATAAGCAGCCAACGTAATTATTAGCTAAAGAACAAATTTACCCGTCCACCGTTCTTTTTAAGTGTTCGCTGCAATAAGGTGATCGGGATACACTTTGAGGGTCATACCAGGAGATTTAAATAATGACTAACGAAATGCGACTGTCCGCGCTGCTCTCTTCTTTCGTATAACCGTCAAAGTGTGTAACCAGAACTAATTTAGCTCAATAACATATTTTACATTCTGGATATTTCGTTAGACTTATAAACGACTCTCATAATGTACGTCATGTCTTTTTTAAACGTCCGACGATCCACTCCAGCCCCTGGTACAGCCTGAAACGTTTTTTTAGTGTCATTTGATTTAAATTTTATTCCTCTTTATACGAAAAAAAAAGTACACGACCGCACAGATCGCTAATGCTCTTACCCCTCTCCTGTCAGGGCGCAACAGCTCTGTATATGCCACTGGTGTTTTTTGATGGAGGTTAGATCCAACTGCCTTGAAATCTCAGCCGCGGTCATGCTGCCCTTCAAGTCTTGCTTGTTGGCGTAGACCAGAACGTTGGCCTTGCTTAATTCCTCGTGGTTCAGCATCGAATAGAGCTCTTCCCTAATCATGCCAAGTCTCTCCCGATCAGTGCTGTCTATGACCATGATGATAAACTCCGTGTTCGTGTAGTAAGTGGACCATGCAGCTCTCAGACTCTGCTGACCACCCAGATCCCACATGATAAAATGAATATTCTTCCACACAACTTCTTCTACATTGGATCCGATGGTCGGAGACGTATGGACAACCTCGTTCATCAGGAATTGATACAATATCGTTGTCTTTCCGGCATTGTCCAAACCGACCATGACTATTTTATGCTCTGAAAGCAACACACTTTTATTTAAGTAATAATTATTACGACTGAGATACTTCTCGAAGGTCTACGACTAGTACCATAAAATTACATTTGTAGAGAGGTATAATTATAGATCAATAGCTTATACAATAATGTTCTGATAAATGTTGTAGCAACAATTTTGTAACATAAGATTTTTTAACAGAAGATATACATTTTTGTAGAAGAAATTCTTGTATGCATTTCTGCAAAAAATAATGCAAATTAAAATTTCAATTTAAATTTTGCACTCTTCAAGATATGACGGATATTCAGTGAAAGTGAATTAAACCAGAGTATAAATTTCCACGCGAGAATTTAAATTCAGAGAACATAAAAGGGAATGTGATTTGGTAGCATATGTTAACAGATTAGAGAAAGTAGGCCAATTGTACATATTCGCGTAGAATTTCCAACGGGCATGTCATCCTATTCATCAAGTCGTGCAGCTCTACATCGGACTCTCGGCGAAATTGGCGACTGGCGAAAAGTAAAATAACACTCGAGTAAATTTCGCGAGCGTTTTATTGTAGGCCCAGAATATTTTTCGATCGCGCGACGAGTCCCCCAACATCCGTGACTGACCCTCTTGATGGAGTTGGCAGATCGCAAACATCGCGAATGATTTATGATCGGCTGACGATCGTCTCACACGTGTTATCACAAACATATACGGTGGACGCGCATAAAAGGGACGAAACGATGAATCATAGGCCATATCACGGTATTCACCTTCGTTGCCGAAGAAGCTCCACAGCTTCGCGAACAGCAGTCCCATGTTGACTGATCAGCCCGGGGACCAATCGAATATATCCGTTCGACGCCACAAGCTCGCCGTCTCCCTGACAATTAAGAGAATGTCTCGGGAACAGGGCGGTTCATTGTCTCTCTCGGAGGTTATGTTCGCTTCCGCGACGATGGGATATCGTTTACGCGCGACGTCGGCTCGCGAATCGACATCGTAATTGCGCCGAGACGTTGGTACGAACGCTGACGGAACGCGAGTACGATCGCTCTCGCGGCCGGAGCTGCGACGCGCGGAAAACGGACGAGAAATCGACGGGGTACGCGAACAACCTGTCTAGCTTGATCGAGCGAAACGCGACATGTTGCATCTCTGCTTCGCTTCTGCTAATCTGCTCTGGCATTTCTGATCTACGAGTGTCCGCACTGTCCGCACGCCCCGAGCGAGGCGCTGCCGCGCTCGGCAATTCTCGGTAACATTCGGCCGCGTTCAGGAACGAATAACGATTAGTTGCGCGAAGCGACGCTAGACGGCGCTCGGCCGCCATCTACAGTTCAGTTTGGCCCTTTTGCCGCTGCACGGCGCGGCGTTGCGATCGACGTAAGATTCTCTTGACTAAATTCCGATTAAGTTAATCGACTGAAATCGAATGATTTACCTTATCGAGCCGTATTTGTGGTATTTTACCAACGTAGAAATATGAATTTCTTATTATTCGACACCTGGGAACCTGCCGGTTGAATCAAACTGAGAGGACGACCCCGATTAAGCTGCAATTTAGTTAATCGGAATTTAGTCAGGGTAATCTTCACTCTGAAGTTTGCCGTTCAAACTCCAATTCAGTTAATCGGAGTCGGGGTCGTCTTCACCCTGAAGTTTGTCATTTAATTAAGTTTGCGCACTTATTTCAATTCGTTCGTGGACTTATCCGACATCGAATTATATTAGGCTTGGTTTTTTTTGTACATACATCTCATCTTTTCACTTTTTCTATTTAATGTTTAATATTATGTATACTTATTTCACTTCAAGTGCTGAAATTTTGAGGGATAAAATCCCGATTCTCGCCACTTCTAGACTTCAAGTAAAAGTCCGATACTTCCGATTACAATAAAAGAACATGATCTCGGATGATTTCTTATTGCAACCTTCTCGCTCCTCGCCTCTCGAGAACGTTGTTTTCCAAAGGAGGAATATCGCTTCGTCAGCTGTTTTCGGGAATTGCTACTTCCAAAAGAATGTACGCAAGAAATTCGAGAAGCCGGCAAGATTATTATGGAGGATAATTTTTTTCAACATTCTGAGAGGAAATTATGCCATTATTTCGACCATTATAGAAACATTTATGCCGATTGCCTTTAAAGAAATGTTACCGAGGAGATTCTGCGCGCGACTACGAGACCACATCATATTAGAATGATTAGATAAGTCAGCCGTGTCGCGGCCGGGCCGGCGTGCGTGTTAATCGCTGTATCATCGTTATCATGAATTGTTCAGGCATGGACGACGTGACCGCGCCACGCGATTGGCTCGTAACGCGTCGGCTGACGCTGCGAAGCACAAGCACATCGCTCGAGCGGCTCAAGCTACACACGTCCTTTGACGACCCGAAAAGTTCGACCACTTGTTGCTCTTGCGGCATTCGCTGCGACAAGTCTTACGTGGAGTCTCATTCAGCTAGATATTTTTCATCGTCGATCGTGCCTGTAAACCGTCCGCAAATATGAGCACCCCGTGAGTATTCTTTTTTTACGTCCACATTAATTAAGTTCACTCAGAATAGCAGAAGGCCAGTAAAAACCGTACATAATCTGTCATTTCGTGAATGAAGTATATTAGATAGGGTATGCAGATGTAAGGAGAAGAAGATGGGATTTTGTTTCTCGCTAGATCTTGCACGAATTCTTTCTGTCTTCCAGGGTGGCAGATATCGCCCTCATCGGGTTAGCGGTCATGGGACAGAATCTAATTCTGAACATGAACGATCATGGTTTTGTCGTGTGCGCGTATAACCGTACAGTAGACAAAGTCAAGTCCTTCCTCGAGAATGAAGCCAAGGGCACGAAGGTTATCGGCGCTTACAGCTTGCAGGAGATGGTCAGCACACTGAAGAGCCCAAAGAGGGTGATGTTGTTGGTTAAAGGTAAGCTGTTTCCTTGTTGTCGCAATTAAAGCGTCTACAACTGTGATCGTAATGATACAATTTGCTCTGATAATAGCTGGCGCAGCCGTAGATGCCTTTATCGGGCAGTTAGAGCTCCTTCTCTCTCCCGGGGACATTATCATCGACGGTGGCAACTCGGAGTATCAAGATACCGAGAGACGTACCAAGGATCTAGAGCGGAAAGGAATTCTCTTTGTTGGCAGCGGAGTCAGCGGAGGAGAGGAAGGCGCCAGGTACGGGCCGTCCTTGATGCCCGGCGGCAATCCCGAAGCGTGGCCACACATCAAATCTATCTTTCAGGTACTGCAATCCTAACCTATCATTATTTAACGAGAATTAACGAGATACCCGGTCTGCTGCAACATTGCGACATTTTTCAGTCGATATGTGCGAAAGTTGACGGAGAGCCGTGCTGCGACTGGGTAGGCGAGACCGGCGCGGGACATTTCGTCAAGATGGTGCACAACGGCATCGAATACGGCGACATGCAGATCATCTGCGAGGCTTATCACTTGATGCGTAGCGGCCTGCAGCTCACCCAGGAGGAGATGAGCACGGTGTTCGACGAGTGGAATAGGAGCGAGCTGGATTCGTTCCTGATCGAAATCACGCGAGATATTCTCAAGTACAAGGACGAGAAGGGTTACTTGCTCGAGCGAATCAGAGACACCGCCGGCCAGAAGGGTACCGGCAAGTGGACGGCGATCGCCGCGCTGGATTACGGCGTGCCGGTCACGCTGATCGGCGAGTCGGTCTTCTCCAGATGCCTGTCCGCGCTGAAGGACGAACGCGTGGAGGCGAGCGCGGTGCTGTCGGGCCCGGATCCGGTGTACCAGGGCGACAAAAAACAGTTTCTCGAACACTTGAGAAAGGCTCTGTACGCCGCGAAAATTATCTCGTACGCGCAAGGCTTCATGCTGTTAAGAGAAGCCGCCAAGATGCACAATTGGAATTTGAATTACGGTGGAATAGCGTTGATGTGGCGAGGTGGATGTATCATAAGGAGGTAAGAGCCGGAAAGTTTATGAGAGAGGTTTACATACGGTTTTTAAATTCATCTAGTTACATCAATGTCACCTCAATCCTTTTTATGCGACCTACATTCCCTTTTAAAGCCTGTGGCAAAGAAATATAAGTGTCAAGGCTATAGAATGTTTCTCAGGGGCATTTCGTATCTAGTCTCACTCACAAGATAACTCTCGTTTTTTTTTCTTTCAAACGCTGGCTTAAATGAGTTACCATTCACCTTGTATAAAACAACCGAGGTATACGTAAAATGAGGACCGAGGTTGTCAATTGCTCCTACAATTAAAGCCATACATCATACCCCACATAGAAAAAAGAGAATTATGATTATACTGTCGTCAATAGTTTATTATTGTTAAATGTAAAATTACGAGAAAAATACATGAAAATATAAGTCCAAGAAACGTCGCAAACAATACGCGTGTAAAAGCATCTGAAGGATGTCCTTTAAACACGCTTGTTATCAGCGTATTTAAGAATTTGTGTAATTTCCTTGCAGCGCATTCCTGGGAAATATAAAATCGGCGTACGACAAGAATCCGAAATTATCCAACTTATTGCTGGATGACTTCTTCGCCAAGGCTATGGACGTGTGTCACCGGAGTGCCAGAGTGGTGGTAAGCGCCGCCGTGACGATGGGTATACCGACTCCTGCTCTATCGACGGCTTTGGCCTTCTACGACGGATTCAGAACCGCTCGATTACCGGCGAATCTGCTACAGGCTCAACGAGACTACTTCGGCGCTCATACGTACGAACTGCTCGGTCAGGAAGGGAAGTTCGTTCACACGAATTGGACCGGACACGGCGGGAAAGTATCCGCTTCTACGTACGACGCGTAGATTCGCACAATATCGCGATAACATAACGGCTGGCAATGTACAAAAGAACACCCCGAAAATGCGACAAATACGTAATTAATTATGAATTTCAATAATCTAAACATGCGTAATACGTAGCTATGACATGACGAAGAAACGAGTCGACATGATGGTGATCCTACAGTTGAAAGAAGACAAAATATTGTCAATAAATTTTGTATTCTCTCTTTTCAGATATCTTTCTATCTTCTTTTTCTTGACAAATATATTTTCGTAAATATCTGTAAAACTAGAAAAGATTGAAGAAGCCTGTGATAAAAAAAGGGTATAATATATTTTTATAGATGTTAATTAACGATGATGTAATATATATATGGAAGTTTATCTGAAAGGAATATATATGAATGAAAGTAAATAATAAGATATCTTTTTTTTTTTAGAGATTTCCCGTAGAATACTTTGATGTCGTCAATTGCGACGTTTATTTCGTGGAGATTACGTACTCTCGTACGCGAAGCATCACGTTCCACGCAGGTTACACGTGTATTTTAGGAAACAACGATTTGGAGAAGTAGGGAGAAGTTACGTAATCCCCCCCCAAGAGACGTTGCCTGGTTGTAGTCGTCGACGAGTAGGCGATTCGTTACGACTCGGTGAAATTATGCATCATCGAATCGCAAAAACAGCGCTCGTGGACTCTGTCCCTCTTGCCATTCAGGCGATATAAAAGGCGGAACTGCCGCGCATCTTCTCGCTCTATCGAGGATCGCGGCAATAACGGAGATGGGAAATCGTGAGCGGGGGGTCGAGCTAGTGAAACGCCGATTATGCCGCGAGCCCGTCATTACCGCATTTCTCTTCCTCCGGAGAGTAACGCGCGCGCACGCGAAAAATATTGGAGCATGACACTTTCAATCGCTCGCCGACGTTTTCCCCGCCGGCTTGCGAAACGCAGCGGGCTCGGGATGCAGTTTTGCGCAACCCGATTTTTCACGCGCTCTCTGCCGTAACGCGATTTCGAATGACGGGGAAATTCGTCGTTGCACGATATACTATTTCGCGTGATATACGCCTTCGAACGCCGTTTTAACTCAACGCACGGCTTAATGAATTATTAATTCGCGTTCTAATATGCAAAATCCTTTTTTTAACGCGGGAGTTTTTGTTTTTCAGTAACGCCGGTTGACCTCGATCCTTCCTTTGATGACGTTTTTTTTTTTAAGAATATTATTAGCCACATTTTTATTTAACGTCAAGGTCGCACACGTGTTTTTCCTGTGCGTAACGAGTTTAGATACAACTTTATATATTGTATGTATATCGAAATACAAATAAAATTAACAACTTATATTTATATATAATATGTACATGATTACTTTTCATGTTTTACATACTTGAGTTTTTATTTGTATTTCGATTATGTAAGCATGTGACACGGCAGCGTAAAAAATCAGAGCTTATTCGTTAAATTCCAAAAATACGAGGGACGACGATAGAAATAGTTCAAATATATATTCGTCGCGTAACTCCGCGGAGAAGTGGAAGAAGTCTCCATGCAGGATCATGCAAATCGTTGCGTGTCCCGTTTTATGCCTCGCAACATCACGCGAACGCGTTCTAATCGGCGATCGAACGTCGGCTCTCTCGCGGATTGTCTTCCTTCGCTCTGATCTTTAGAGAGCGTGGCTTTTTTCCCCCCTGAGGTAACATCGCGCGAAACAAACAAAATTCCAAATCGCCAGGCCACGTTTAAATGTCAGGCGTGAACACGCAAGTCCAAGCCGGCTGCACTTTCCTCCTCTCCTTTCTCTCTCTCTCTCTTTCTCTTCCAAACGATCACGAGGTGTATCTGTCTCGTTACAGTAGATAGTCTGACATCATGCAGTTCGAATAAGAGAACATTTATCTTGTTTCTCTTTAATGGACCTGTCAATAGGCCTATTCTTTTTAGCTAAAACTTCTTGTGCAGTTTATCTTTTCTTTTTCTGTTCAACGTGAAAGGAAAGAGAGGAAAGAACCGTGCAACAAGTTCAGTTAAAAAGGCCTGATAAAATGCCTGGTTTGTCTCCTGCTTTCTCTAACGATTGTCATTGCAATTAAGGAACAAGGAGCTAAGTGAAATTTGATTTTTTTTCAATCCTCTGTCGAGCTCCACGGTGGTCTCTCGTACATACATCTCTCAAGTGCTCATCATCATTATATAGTCATCACCGCACTCAACGAACCATATCGATCCTTTCTACGTACGGTCCTTTGAACAATGAAACGATTCTTTTAATAGACCTAGATTATTTCTCACAAATGAGCGAAAATGAAATAAAACGCATTTGTTGATTGAAAAAGTATACCGCGGTCTCTCGCGCGGCTAGCCTTGCGGGGCAAGGAGGCGGAGGGAGGAGGGAGGGACACCCCTCCGTCAGCGGACCATCTCGCCATTCTCACCATCTTCGCATCAGTTCAGTGTCAGTGTTCAGTTGGCGTAGTTTAGCCGACTGCGAGCCGCGACGGACGGCGGTAGCGGTAGCGATAGTCGGAGTCGGGCGTCGGGCAGTAGTGGCGTAGCGTTCGCGTTTGTAAAATGGCCGATCACAGAGAACGGGATTATTACTCGCAGACGGATCTGCGCTCGAAGAACGACGACCCGCCCAACTCGCGGCTCTTCGTCATTTGCCACAAAAGCCTCGACGAGGATGACCTCAGGAAGGCGTTCGAGAAGTTCGGCAAGATCGAGGACATCTGGGTTGTTAAGGATCGCAACACGGGCGAGAATAAAGGTGATTTGTCGCGCGTTGTCGCGTGTCGCGTGGATAAAAAGATTAAATCCGATATGCTCTCCGATCGGCACGTTGCGCGCTTAACCTTTCCCTTTTGATACGCGGTCCCTTTATTCTCTTATTCTCGTCCGGGAAAGGTATTACCACCCGCGTCGTCTGTTTCTCTTCCCGGAGTTCCCGGCGTATACCGGCGTATCCCTGCCTAAAGTGCCTAATGAGTAATGGCTAATGCCCGCCGTTGTCAATGTTGTCATTTGCCCCCTTAGGTGTCACGTACATCAAGTTCTCCAAAACGTCAGAGGCGGCGTTCGCCCTGGAGGAGATGAACGGCAAGATGCTGGGCTCCGTCGGCAGGCCAATTAAAGTGATGATCGCCTCGAAGTAAGCCCTCCCCATCGTGTCCGTTCGCTTTTTCACATCCGCTTTGAATATATGTATCCGTCACTAATCAGTATTTTGTTTTCAACGACCGTTCGCAGCCGGGATCAGGGTTCCGTGCGCGAGACGAACGAAGAGGAGAGGTGGGTACGCTTATTCTGCGTATTACCGAAAACAATGACTGACGGCGAGCTGCAACAGGAATTCTCCAAGTTCGGCGTGATCGAGTACGCCACTGTGGTCAAGGATCGCAGCACGAATGAATCTAAAGGCTTCGGCTACGTCAAATTCAAGAAGGTGTCCAGCGCGGCACGGGCGTTCGAGGAGTGCGACAGGAAGTACAAGGCGGTGTTCGCCGAGCCGAAGAAGCCAAAACCCGATCACAACGAAGCCAAGTACAACAACGGACTGTCCAGTGCCACGTACGACGGCTCCAGCGGGAGTTACGGCTCCTCGAACTTTGGCAAGAGCAGCATCAGCCTGGAGATCGCCACTAACTATTCCAATTCGGACGGTTACACGCGTCTGCAGGTGATCGCGCATCCGGCCCTGAATCAGGACCAGCTGTGGAAGCTGTTCGACATAGTGCCTGGGATGGACTACTGCCACTTGAAGACCGACGTGAGATACAGGATGCCACGCGGTCAAGCCGTAGTGGTGTACAACAATCCGAGCGCGGCGGCGTACGCGCGCGAGAAGTTTCATGGTTTTGAATATCCGCCTGGTCATCGGATGATCGTCAAACCGGATCTAACGAGCCCTCCGCCGAAAAGCACGTCGAAACCCGGCGGATCGACGACCGGCAGCGTCGCTAGCGCGAGAACGGATCTGGCGCATCTGGCGGAGACCATTGCTCAAGCCACGTCGTTGATTCAAGCGGCAGGTCTGACTGCACCGAGTAAGTAAATTCGACGATCTCGCCAGCGCGCTCGGCGCGCTGAAAAAACAAATACGTTGTGCGTCAAGTACCGTTGCATTTTTTACTTCAGGCTTAGACCACATATCCGTGAAGCTCCCACCAGTACAACCGATGGCGAGTATAGACGCTGAAGTTGCTAAGAGATGTTTCATCGTGTGCGGTCCACCGGTGCCGCCTATCTACGCTATGAAGGATGCGTTTTGTAGGTTTGGGAACCTAATAGATGTATATATGTTACCCGGCAAGAATTGCGGGTACGCGAAATACGCCAGCGTCAGCAGCGCGAACGAGGCCATTGAGGTATAGCACCTTTCCTTTTTTACAATCTGTGTATATTCCGAGACATGCGTACCTATTCGAGACCCGCCACATAAGTATTTCTAAATTTAAAATGCGTTCTTAGGTTCTGCACGGTCAAGAAATCTGTGGTTCTCGGCTGAAGGTGCTGGAGGCGGAGGAACGAAACGTTGGCGAGGACCGACGGAAACGGTTACGAATGGACGAGGACGAGAATTGAACGTGTTTTAATATAAAATGCGTATCTCGTAAGTAGTAGACGAGTAGCGTAGTGTGGCGCGAAGGAAAAGAGAGGCGTTTCTTTGTAATAGTTGTAGTACACCCCGAGACGTTGTTTTGCCGACGCTATCACTCTTTTTCTCTCTCTTTATCTCTTTCTCTTTCTCTGTTTCTACCTCCTCCTCCTCTTCATCCTCCTCGGGCAGGGGGGGAAAACGGCAGGAGAAAATGTAATTTTTGCTGTTTGTCTTCACAGACCGACGACTGGTATACACAAGCCGGACGCACGCAACAAAAAGAGACGAATTTAAAGACTACTACTCACTTGACCACATCAAGGGCCTGCATCCAGGGAAAACTACTCCAACTACCTACCTATATATATTTAACTGTTCGCTTACGTTCGCGCAGCTGCAACTCTCTACGTTACTGAAACCTTTAACTGCTACTCTACTACTACTGTTACTTTTTATCCTCTTACATGGCCGTTCACAAACGATACGTTGCTCGCGCGGACGACCCGTGTTTCTGTTACTTTAAGAGGCCTGTGCGAACGGCCGATATCGTTGAGTGCTTTATTCGCTGTGCACCTGTGCACCATGTAGAAAGCGTCCTTTCCACATCTGGACATGCGGAAGTGTACGCTACCTTCCTTCGGACTTTGCAAGGCTCGGAGGAAGCAAAGCGTGAATACATTGACGAGGTGCACAGACCAATTTGTTTCCCAGACTGATTTTCATCTATATATATATATATAGCTAATATATATTTTTACCCTTCTCTAATCTTTTAATTTCTAGCTTTGCACTTCTTCGAAATTTTGATTATTGACGACACATTTTTTTAAACGGTGAACCGCTTAAAGTAAAAATAAGTAATAACTGTTTAAATGTAAAACGTTCTTAAATCTTTTTTTTTAAATCAAAACACGAACGACTGAGAAATTCATGAGGATAATTACGACTCTGACCACCCGTTCGCATAGGCTTTTAGGTATAACCTATACCTTAGGTTTAACAAAGAGACCTTTAATTTATGATTAAATTTCTGTACTTTTCTTTTATAGTTATATTGCGTGGAGAGAGGAAGCAAAATAATTTGTACTTTATATGCCATTGATAACTTACGACGATAAGTTACAAGTTATTGCGGACAAAATTAATTCCAAAACAAGTAGGATATTATTGAGACATTAATAACAATTTTATTCTATATTGCGGTGACAACAAAGTTCGGCACGATCAAAAATTGTTATTTGATCAAATATATTATACCATCTAACTTTGTCATATCGTTTAACTCATATTTGTATAAAATATTAGAACTTATTAATACTTTGTAATAAAATTATAAGGTATTTAGTGAATCGCGCTTTTTACGCACATTACGGGTTAAATTTTAATAAAAATTTGATCTGCAACGTGTGCGTTTTAATGTAAAAGAATACTTTGATCACAATTTATTTACAAAAATTAAATTTACCGAGAGAATTTCGACGGTGCTTTTCAAGTTTTAGTACACAACTAAGAAAATTTTTGTAAAGAAAAAAAGAATATGACACTAATGTAAGATACTTAATACTCGATATCATACGTCAATGTTAATTTCTGATTAATATTGAGGTAAATCTTGTTTTGGAAGCAGTTTATGTAGGAACGAATGAAATGTACTGGCATGTAGACTGTTTTTCGTTTAAAAGCACGACAGAGGAGAGAAGCGTAGATTTCTTGCTTACAGTAAAAGAAAGAAAAAGAAAAGAAAAGACGATTTCCCGGCAAAACCGATACCCGATATCCATCGTTACGAAAATCAGACGACCTCGTCACACATCCCAGTGATCGACGCACAACATTGAACGTTTTATGATGGACACACATTTTTGTATCACGAGACCATGTACCATCGTGCGTTTTGTACCACGAAGACTCTCACTGTATTGACCGTACCGGATGGTGTCCCAGGGGACTGTAACTGTGACTTGTTTTCTTTGGTGATATATCAAATACACATGAAATACGCAATAAACCCCAAAACACCGACTCTTTCACTTGATTTTTTTTTCTTTATTATTTACTACCGAATGGTATATCGTATGATTTTATCTAATTGATAGAACTCTGATGCTCTCTGACCTGACGTTTGTTCTTCTCGCTTTCAGGATACCGCGAGGATTCCACGAAGCACTTGTACCTGAAGACTGTGATAATTCTAGCGACGTAAGATTATTATAATATTTCTACGAGATTGTATATGAGGAAAAAAGTTTTACATAATATATTAATTATTATATTTTTAGTACAATTACTCGTTGTATCATTTGTAAGTGAATTTATTTTTCAAGACAAACATTTGTCTTGAATATATGTCAAAATAAGTGGAGTAACGATGGACTCTTGTTATCGCCTCTCTATTTTCAAAAGCCTCGTTATTTTCAGATGCAGTTTACTCTTCTCTATAAAAAAAATATATCGAGACATAAATATTAGAAAAAAATTTATCAAAACGAGCGAGATATTAAAAATATTTAGAATAAAATATATTTAATCTACGTTCTCCCTCCAAAAGCACCGTGAATATTTTTCGGACGGAAAAGACATCAGAGTTTGGAGCGCAGTGATAAAAGTAAGGCCAGACACACGGCAGTAGTGAAGGTAAGTACAAATACAGACGACTCGTAGTAGTGGCAGCCGCGGTCAGACATCGGTGGCGCGCAGTAGTAAGAACGCGATGTTGCGCCGACCTTTCGATATTTTATCTTTTTTCAGTGTTAATTTTCCTTTATCAGAGAGAAACCTGAGAGAGGCCATCCCGGTCTTTTTCGTGTGTTGCTGTGTTGCATTTTCCGACGCGCCGCCTGAGAAAGTGCAACTCAACTACGTCGTATCGCTCGGTAACCGCACATGGTTTGCGTCCGTGCTAATGGTTCGTGTCTGAACTAGCCAGCTGGAGGGGATATTATTCTGGCCGCGGCGGCCGCGCGCTCGGCCGGCCCGGGAGTTGCATCTGATTGCACCTGTTGATGATATTTTTACCTTATTTTATATTATATATTTTTTTACCTTATTTTATATTATATTTTTTAAATATAGATAAATCGCGCAAAAATATCTGTTCCGCGTAAACAGCCACCGTCGCCTCGATATCCCTCACGTACTGACTGTACTACGTTTATGCGAGCGTTACTTCTGTAGTAACTTACGATACGTCCGTCGCGTAAACGGGATTTTGTAGTAACTTACGATACGTTACTCCGCGTAAACGAATGATATATCGTAAGTTACTACAGAAGTAACGCTCGCGTAAACGTAGTATGAGGGAGTTACGTAATCGCCAGGCTAATGATCACTACGTGTTCGCGATATATGTATATAACACTCGCGTTTCGAGAGACAGCTACGTCGACCAGACACCACCGAGACAGAACGCAGAACGTAGAATACAGTCAGTTAAACCTGTGAAAGTTAACGAAAGATTCGGCATACGTTGTCTTTTATTGTTCGTTGAAAGTTTTCGGTATTTTTGAACCGGCCGCGGCCGCGCGCGTAGGCCGTGACGTCATGCGCCGCTCCGCGCCGCCGGCGCGGCGGATCGATACGGTGACGGTGATGTAGTAGGCAGTGTAGGCACCTGCGCAGTCCGTACTAGCGGCGTGACCGTTGAACTCGAAAGCTCCGTACCTCGAAGATCGGCGCGTTTTCAACGTTGTTTCTGGCGATGAGCGGACTTGTCACTTGTTTCCGTCAACGCTCGGAGTAGTGTTACCTGCGTGAGTGACTCAGTTATCATTCTTCCGAGGAATCTCGCACCGGTAGGAAGTGTTTGTGCTTCGCGCGCGCTCGTCACCGACGTCACCGTGCTTCGTGCTGTTTTTGGAACGCGCTCGTTTCGGTGATTGGCATTCCTGCTTCCTCGTTTCGCGGGCCGCGGGAATACGCGCTACGCGATCGAGTACCGCGCGCCGTGTGCCGTGTGTGTAAAACAATTTAGAGTGTATGAGGTGTTTATCGGAATGAACGTGTCGCGCGACGCGCTCACTCGAGACGTCGAGGCGGAGGTATGTATGAACGACTTGCTTTGCAGTTTCGCGCTGTGATATTCGCGAGTGACAGTCGCTCCTCCCGCCATGTCTGGATTCGCGAAGAACGCTGACGTGCCGGACGTGTCGTGTGATTTAGCTCCGATTCTCTCCGTAGGGAAAAAGGGCTGAGAGATATTGATCGTGTCAAGTGATTCCGGTGATTCGATCGGTGATAACGGAACGCCGCGATACATCGCCCGTTCGTGAATGCTTCATAATCTCGATTTACGAGTTTGGTAACGTATTGTGCGTGCGATATTTAATTTCAACAGCGTATCTTTGATTGACGAAGTGCGTGTCTTTATTAACCGTCCGCTCGACTTGCGTAGTATCGCGCCAAGTTGCCAACATCTCGGAACATTTCGTCGCCCATTATTACGTCGCCCATTAACAACGTAACGCCGGTAACGCGGTGATGAACGCGGAACGACGCGGAGCACGCGGCGTCGCGACTCCTTCAAATTTGCATGAAAAATTCATGTTACCCGCTTTTATATTACAGAGAAAAGTACTTTTCCTTCCCACGGGTACGACCTTGGCGAGGTGGGAAGGCTCCAGTACCCAGTACGAGGATTTTACCCAAGCAAAACTCTTGTTCTGCTTGGATAAAAATTCAAAGACGGGGAAGCTAACGTACCCTCGTCCGCCGATTTAATTGAATGAACGAACCGCAGCCGGTTCGTCGCGTTTGCTTCGGGAGTGCCGTTCAAGTAATCGGACTAAAGGACTTTTCTAAACGGGAGTGCCGTACAGTATCGCGCGAGAAAGACTTTTAATGAAATTAGTCCGCGCGCGATTGTAGTTTATTATCCGCGAGTGTTTCTCGCGAGTGTCCTGTGCGGTGAGACGATGAAGCCTAAGTATCCCCTGAGAGGAGGAGGAGGCCTGGGAGAGGCATCGGGCACCGGCGGAGCAACCTTGGGGTGAGTATCATCTCTTTATATCTGCGTAAAATTAAAATAGTTCTTTTTTATTTATTCGAATTGTTTTATCTCGATAAATTAAAAATAATTAGAGAAAAAGATTATCTAAAATTTTACTCTTATAAAGATCGTTTTCGGTGAACACAGATGATTGTGTTGCTAAATATTTTATTGAAAAACAAATTAGTTGCGCGTAAAAATTATATTTTGAAAAATGTTGATTATTTTGAACGCTTCTTTAATTTGAATCTTATGTTTGTATGTTACAGTATCATCGTAGCTACGTGGCTGAACAACTCCGCCCGTTGCACATCGGCGTGGTGAGTCAGAATTTTTTTTATTGAAATGACAAATCTACGATTAGTCAGATATAGAGCCATTGTATCTCGGAACATATCGACGCTTATATATATAAATTAATTAAGTCAGGGTTTTAGGAAGTCGCGTCCGCGTCGCGTATACGTCTTCCCCGGGAACGCCGCCGCCGCCGCGGTGCCGGGTGGAAGATCCGTCATGCCACGCGCCACGTCAAATCTGCACATACACATATATACGTAGGGACATGCGATTTCAATATGCAATATTGCGACATTTTCGAATACTCTGAACATATTAACTTCCGCAAATTTGGAGATGTCTATTTATTTCTAATTTTATTATATTTTTCAGTCTTTTCTACCCCTATTTCATATGTAATTCTTTTAAATTCGGTTGATTAGACTTCGTTTTATATGCGATCAAAGTTATGGATCTTTGATCGCGTATAAAGCTGGGTCTAATCAACCAAATCTTAAAAAATTATATATGAAATAGGGGT